GTAACAACACTTGTTACCTGTGCAGAGAATTGCTACATCAGGTGCTGGGTAACAACACTTGTTACCTGTGCAGAGAATTGCTGCATCAGGTGCTGGGTAACAACACTTGTTACCTGTGCAGAGAATTGCTGCATCAGGTGCTGGGTAACAANCTCTGCATAGGTCTGCATAAGCTGCCATACTCTGCATAGGTCTGCATAAGCTGCCATACTCTGCATAGGTCTGCATAAGTCTTCATACTCTGCATAGGTCTGCATGAGCTGCCATGCTCTGCATAAGATCACAATCATGTTCAAGGAGATTAGATCTGTGAGTGATGTCGATGGTGTGATGTCCACGTGATGTGACTGCGAACTAAAGTTGAGATTAAGCAAGCATGCACATAAACATTGCATGGTGAAATGTTACCTGCCGTACAACCTACAATAAATAACATAACTTATATATTTTCCACGCGTGCAGGACGTTCAAATGGCTTCAACCATACAAAGCTACAGGCCGTAAATCTTAAAATTTACATCGCACGCCATTGAGACCGTAGAACCAAAGCCCTGAATATAATATTAGCTTAAACGAATAACTTAACTCGGCCATAATGTCTGAGCAGAGAAGCCCTGGCTTTACGTACGTCGCAGTTTGTCCCCGGATTACTAAAAATGTCTTGGAAAATCTGCTTGTAAGGCGGCCATTACGACTTCAGGGTAACTTTTGCTTCTGTGCCGAGCTTGCTGGTGCCTTGCAAGCATTCTTGCGTTTACACTTTGAAAAAATTGTCAAATTATCAGCGGTAGAGCATAGCATATTAAGTTGTACGAGATATACGATCTAAACTCTTGCCATGGAAACACGTGTGGTGATGGCTCTATATTAGGTAGCGGGTAGCTCTTTAACAGGGAATTTTTTTTATAATTTGTAGCATTTTGGAACACCGAGTAGTTGTTAAATCATCAACGTTTTTCCATTTGAAATTTAGGTATTGCATTCTATTTAGTTCTTTCCGCATTGTCGAACCGTGATGTCAATAGGAAAAGAAATTTATTCTTTGAGATTTTCCCGAAGTGTTATTCACAAAAAGCCAAGAGAAAAATTATTCAATATTTTATCTTTATGTATTTTTATTCCCGATATGGATAAGTGAAGTTGATTCACGCAGATATAATTAGTGAGTCATCCCTAACAGTGAAGAGTTATAGTCAGACATTTGTAGGACCATCGCGTTCATCAACAGCGCCATCTGAAGTCCTAAACGCGACATGACATATGAAACGAAGAACAATTCGGCCTTATTTGCTGGCCTGGATCAGAACATGGAGCCCAGCAACACGCTGCCTCTCGTCCTAAAACAGAACTGCGGTCCTTCTAAGGTGTACAGAATCCCAGCTAGTTGATGTCCTAATATAAGCGCCATTACCATACATAGTTTGCTCTTAACCTGGACTTTAAAGTAGGTGCTGTCACATCTCAGATGGCAGGAAGGTTAATTTGACATGGCAGAGATTTATACGAGTCTCATGACGCTATTAGTTGCGCTTATGTTAAGATGATTCATGGCAAACTCGTGGCACATATCATGTCATCCTGGTGCACGTAAACTCGTGCCCGTATCATGTCATCCTGCTGCACGTAAACTCGTGCCCGTATCATGTCATCCTGCTGCACGTAAACTCGTGCCCGTATCATGTCATCCTGCTGCACGTAAACTCGTGCCCGTATCATGTCATCCTGCTGCACGTAAACTCGTGCCTCGTATCATGTCATCCTGCTGCACGTAAACTCGTGCCTCGTATCATGTCATCCTGCTGCACGTAAACTCGTGCCCGTATCATGTCATCCTGGTGCACGTAAACTCGTGCCTCGTATCATGTCATCCTGCTGCACGTAAACTCGTGCTACATATCCTGTAAACTTTATGAACTATCCTGGTTTGTATTTTCTTTGGAATTTTTTTTCAATTTTCATTATCTTTCTCGTTTTCTACCAATGTATTATTTGTGTAGAGCAGTCGATAAGCAATTCAGTTACTTCAAATATATTAACAGGATTTTGAGTTCGAGTGGACTAAAAATTAAATAAATAGAAAAATAAAATTGATTCTAATTCTGCAGCTATAAGACAATATCGACAAATATCCTATTTGTATGATGTCTAAAGTTTATTTATATAAACACATGCTTGCAGTGCCACCTAATATTGATAAAAGACTAATTTTTCTTACGTCAAACCGGCCGAAAAAATGTCGCACTTATCAAGACTTCAACATTCCTATACGGATTTCAACAATTGTAGCATGAAATACAGAGCGTTGCTAATTTAAAATGACTGTAAAAACTTGGACTACAGTAAATACAATAAATAGCTACAATTTAGTGCTAAAAAGTAATACACTGAGAAGAATTTAGGTTCCCAGATTGCCGATGGCTGATAGTTTTTTGTGCACCAATTACCACGTCAGGGTTTATTGCCTTCGTTGCATTTGCATCGCCTCGAAACATGGCATTTTTTCTATCCTGGAATGCAATGAAACTGAGAAGCATTTGTCCATTCTTATGTTAAATAAAAATGTATAGATATGCTAGATTCTTCCATTATTATGTAAAATAAAAATTTATAGATATGCTAGATTCGTCCATTTTTATGTTAAATAAAAATTTATAGATATGCTAGATTCGTCCATTCTTATGTTAAATAAAAATTTATATAGATATGCTAGATTCGTCTATTCTTATGTTAAATAAAAATTTATAGATATGCTAGATTCGTCCATTCTTATGTTAAATAAAAATTTATAGATATACTATATTCGTCCACTCTTATGTTAAATAAAAAATTACAGATATGCTAGATTCTAAAGATTACATCCTCGTTTTGATTTGGTTCATTTTTCCCAAAAAGAGCTATTGTCCGTAACATGCATGACAAATTGCAAAAGTTATAATCGGAATGCTGTGAAACTTGGAAGCATTTCTTGACTCGAATGTTCTCCAGCAATGTTTGGATAAACCAAACTGCATCATTGATTTCAGTTTATTCTTTTCCTTAAAGGTGCGATAGCCCGTAACCTGAATGACAAGTAGAGTATGGGTTTCTTTTGCCCCTCAGGAATATCGTTCAAGTTTTCCTTGTTAAGTTGCGCATGGTTACATCTTCAGTTTAACCTTCAATTATCGTGTTTTTTTACGAAGAACTTGAATGTATAATTAATTTAACCTCCACAAGTTTATTTACAATTGTTTGCTTGAATCAATTTCATTGCCGCCTTTATAGGTTTATCTCAAGTTTCTGATTAAATAGCAATTAAAAAAGCGTTTTTAAGAATATTTTATACTCAGGTCACCTTATAAAAAGCCTTCAGAATTTCTAGACTTACTTAGATTCAAAGTCAATCAATTTTAATTTTAGGGTAATTTAAGATACAGAAAATTAGCAGGAAGTTTCTGAACATTAAAAATCATTGTTTTGTTAAGGCAGAATAATAAAATTTTATGAAATCGGGTGTTTGTGTGTAGTGCGCATCCTAGTAGTAACGCAAGACAATATAAATTTGGTGTTTTCAAGTTGGTTTTATTCTAATGATTATAATATTTATTTGTATCTATAAGATCACAAAAAGTTAGGGTTATGATTTTTTTTCTAGTGTGTGTTAGGACGTTAGCGTTGGAGTCTTGATTGGAAGTCACCGCTCGTCCGATGAGAAGGTGGCGCTTGCAGTGATGTTGGCTGGGGGAAAATTGAAAATTATTAACACGATTACAAATTCAGCCAAGAACGTTTGATCAAAATATGATTGTGTGTTGAATTGTGTGAATGTAGGAAGGCAGCTTGTGAATTTTGAAGGCAACTTTTCTGGATAAACATATATGCAGTTTGCAATTTCTCTATAAAATTGTGGTTTATCTCATTGTAATTTTGAAAATGTTCTATTAACCAATCGGCTTCTACATAAGTGAGGCAAATGTATTTTTGAAATTTAGGCGAGCACACATATGCGGCCAACTTCTCTGAATTCAGCAAAAATGTCTTGCGACTGTTTACAGTATCAAAATTTTCTTGAATGCAGTATTTAGTTTGCTCAAACATGTATTTCTAAGTTTCATAACAAAGAGCTACAGCCACCACAAGGAGCATGCATGGGTAACTCGCACAACAAGGGGTCTTGGAAGCGTAACCATGCTACCTTTCAAGGCCTCTAAATAAGCTATAAAGTCGGAAAAGAATTCAGGTTTGTTGTGTTGTGAAGAAACTGACTAGATACCAGCAGTGGTTGAACGCACTCACAGGCCATGCTGATTACCATTTAAGATGTGCCAAGCATCACCAAGACTCGCCCTACTGGTCTATTTCTTATCTGCGACTACAAGGGAACTTCCTCATCATGTCCAAGACTTTCATGCAAATTTCATTTTGTGGCAAAGGATAGAAATTCCTAAGCTTGCCTAGAACATATGATGCCTGTCTTATTTAATCCATGAAAATGGATTGCTGAACATCAACGCCGCATTCCACTGAGCGCATTCAAGTCTGCTTTTAATTTCCTTTTCAACTACGACTTTGCATTATTTTGTGAATGTTAACCATGTGTATACCTTCCAAGAGACTTTACAGCTCAAAGTTACGTTATTAGCTCAATACTGGATATTAATATCAAAGTTATTAAGATATTTTAAATTAAATGAATGCACCGAGAACTCGGTCGTGCTCATGATGGTTGCTAGCGCCACTGGTAGTGTCCGAGCCTCGGACAGGTGCACGGGACTTCTGACTAGCGTCCACATCCACCAACACCATCATGATCACAGCCACGGCTGACGTCTTAGAGGTATTATGCTCGTACTTCGTACTCCTGGTATGAACTATGTTTAAATGCGTTGTTTAATTGCGATGAAACGTCTTAGTTGATCTTTGTATGTTGTTGTGGGCGTTTGTGTGTTGCGATTTGTGATAACGCTCACACCCCTCCGCCTCTAGACGCGGCTCCACTCTCTCAATGGCAGCATTGTGGCCGTTGTGGGTTGGTGGCGCCACTCTCCTCATTGTGACTTGCGCAGTCGAAGAGAGAAGGTGGTGGAGGTTGTAGGTCCTTGTATTTTGTTACCTGAGCTACCCTTAGGATTATCTCTACTCACCTCATAACTGTCGCGCCAAACTACAAAAAATATCCGATTTCGTCTATTTGAAGCCTAAAAAAAGTGTTAGTGGTGCTTCATTGTGATACAGCAAAGTGACATTTTATGCAGTGCTAGAGAAGTGTGTGGTACGCGAGAGGAATTTTCTTAAGCCATTCATCCATAGTTGTGACACACCTCGACCTATCGACATGGATGAAAAGAGCAGCATTTTGCTTGCTCGTGGATGTGACGATGAAGAACTGGAGGACTTTTTCGAGCGTTTAGGACGTTTGGTTCCCAAGCTTCGTTGTACTTGCGAAGAATTGAGTCATTGCGACTTTCACAGCTCACAAGAAATGAGAGATTCTAACGGCGACTCCAATCATGTAGCGCAACCTCAGGCAATAAATGAAGGCTATGATTCGTCGTCTAAATGTGCTCTTGATCAACATGCAATCTTTGATTCGTCGAGAGTAGATGACAGTATTTCATCCAAAATTGTCGACGATTGTCAAGGGTCTAGTCAAGTATATAATTTAATTCCAATACAATCACTTACGTTTGACCACCCAACACTTAACGTTGTAAATAATAAATTCAACCAGCCGTGTAAATCCAGGCGAGTCAACCACCCCGCTGTTAAAACTTGCAGAATACGAAATAGAACCACTCCGTATAATTTAGCTAAGCATGTTACCAAAATAGATAGTCACGCCAAATCATCTTCGAGCCGCTATTGCCCAAGTACGAAATTTGAGCCTGAAGGTCGGCTCGAACTTCTAACTGACGTCATTGAATACATACATAATCTTCAGAGCCTCTTGGAGAGCGCACAAGGCAGAGGTTTTGACGTCTCCTCTGACCTGGATCATGGCTCCAAGCTACACCCGGAAGATCAAGAGGAATCTTGCAAGACCACCCACTCTGGGAAGGCTCGTTACCCTTTCAGTGATCAGGATGCGAAGGCCGAAGGTATGAAGCTGGCTCATGAATCTGACGTCGTGCCACCTGTGGATCAAGCCATCAAGTTGTTGGACCGTGTAGTGCCGGCAGCTGGGGCTTCGTCGTTCAGATTAGTGGAATCTGTGGCGTCTGTGGACCGAGCCATCGAGCTGCTCGAGTACAAGACAGGCGCCATCACTCTTACTGCCTGATCTCAAGCGCAACCACCTTACTAACGTGAGTTTAGCAACAACAGGTTTATCTTGTATTGAAGTGCTTTTCTTTGCGCTTATTGTGAAATTTCACGCTGAACATTGACAAAAAGTACTAACTCGCTTATGTTTATGCATGATATTTTTAATTTGCGTGATACATTCCTTTTAAAATTTTTTCGTTGATGATTCTTGCTGTTCAACGTTTGTAACAAGTAGTGTACCTATATGCATTCAATAATGCAAGTAGTAGCTACTGGATTCATTGAATTATTCTCCTAAAAGACTTATGTTTCATTTGCAGGAGTGATCTCATCATGGGCATGGAGGGTACATACCTAACGGTCGTCTCATCAGTTGTTGACATCCGCATCTCTTTTTAAATATGATAACTTTTGAATAATTGTTTACTGCAGCGTTCGTGTTAAGGGATAACTTCTGAAGAATTGTTCACTCAAACGTTTGTGTTAAGGAATAAATTTTGAAGAATTGTTTACTCTTACGTTCGTGTTAAAGGTTATCTTCTGAAGAATTCTTCTCTCCAGCGCTCATTATCGACCGCGTGACGCCTGTACAACAATTTTGCTCCCAGTTGCTGTTCATCTTGAAAAAGAATGAATTTGTTTCAATTTCCAAGTACGGAATACATTCCAAGGAAAAAAGACTAAACAGCGACATATTTTGAGGTGTCAACATAAAGGTTAAATTTCAAGTAAACGCTAATAATTTATTCGGCAACAATAATTTCAAAACGCTTGTTCTTTGCGTACTTTGTCGAAGCGACTGAGAGCTCGATGGCTGAAAAAAAAAATGTAATTAAGTTACCTAATTGAATGTGTTAGAATTTAAAAATAAATCTGCTTTAATATCCTCTTCAATTAAATAAGATATAGATACGATTTAATATAGATGAAGCTCCAACGTGCTTCAAGATCCAGTAGGCATCAAATACGGTTCACAAGTTTGTATCACAACAAGTTTTATTGTTTAATGTATGAAAATTCAGGGAATTTCCATTAATTAACATAAACCATTAGCGTTTAAAATCAAGTTTTGTGAATATGTGTGTTTCCTGAATGTGTGTGATCATTATAATCAACCGTTAACGTCTTTGATTATTATATTAATTTTTTATTTGGTGTGGTTCGACATGGACCTGGTGCTATAATATTTTGGACCGCTAATAAATTAGCAATCATGCACCTATACTGCATAGCATGTGTAGGTTATTATTCTTTCTATATTTGAATAAATTTGTTTCAACGTACTTTTCTGACGCCATTTAATTGTTCTGATCTCAGGAACGTGCCTGTACGTTGCAGTGATGGATCTTTAGTTCGGCATACCGTCAAATGAACCATTCAATGTCGAGAAGTATAAATAGCATTTATTATTCAGCATTGCTACTTTGCGGAGGGTCCGAGTGGTTAAGATGGCCAAGATTTGAGCAGTGAAATGGGGTTCGAGACTCAGCTAGCTGTAAAAATTCTGCCATTTAAACGATCGGTGCCAGGTCAAACATGGCTAAATCCTTAACACTGACCCTACGATTTAATATTTAACATTATTTTTAATACATCTCATCTTCACAAGAATCACTTTAGGTCCAAGTATTGCAACTTAAACTGAATCTACCTGAAGATTTTGTGCGAATTCATGAACACACTAAATACCGTACGTAGTTTAGTTGGGTACGCACTTATAAAAGTTAAAGTTTTTTTAGCCTTTGCACGCTTGTATCTCACTCGTTCCTTTGTGTGTAAGTGTACCGATGTATATTATAACACGCATTAAATCGAGCACACTTCTTAATTGAATCAAGTGTATAGGATTGTTTTCTATTGAAAATTTGTCTATAAACATTCCGTCTAAGCATTAGACACTGTACACCCATTAGTCTAGAATTCATAAATTCATTTATGTTCGTCTGAAAATTAATGATCTCAGCCGAATTCAATCAGAATATTATCGTCAATAATTTGCGTAATAAATGAGATTTGTCATAACTCGTGTTTTTTTGACACCCCAAAAACGAATAAATTTTCATTTATTTGAGGCTATAATCATGTGTGAGAAGCAATCATCATTTTTGCGAGTCAGTCATCATTATTGTGAGTCAATCATAATTTATGTGAGTCAATCATAATTTATGTGAGTCAATCATCATTCAGATGAGTCAATCATAATTTATGTGAGTCAATCATCATTTATGTGAGTCAATCATCATTAATGTGAGTCAATCATCATTCATGTGAGTCAGTCATCATTCATGTAAGTCAATCATCATTTATGTGAGGCAATCATCATTAATGTGAGTCAATCATCATTTATGTGAGTCAATCATCATTTATGTGAGTCAATCATCATTTATGTGAGTATCATTAATGTGAGTCAATCATTCATTTGAGTCAATCATCATTAACGTGAGTAAATCATCATTAATGTGAGTCAATCATCATTAATGTGAGTCAAGCATCAGTTTTGTGAGGCAATCATCATTGATGTGAGTCAATCATCATTTATGTGAGTCAATCATCATTAATGTGAGTCAGGTATCAGTTTTGTGAGTCAATCATCATTTATGTGAGTCAATCATCATTTATGTGGGTCAATCCTAATTAATGTGAATCAATCATCATTTACTTGAGTCAATCATCATTTATGCGAGTCAATCATCATTTATATGAGTCAAGTACCAGTTTTTTGAGTCAATCATCATTAATGTGAGTCCATCATCATTCATGTGAGGCAATCGTCATTAAAGTTAGTCAATCATCATTTATGTGAGTCAAGTATCAGTTTTGTGAAGAACCTCACCGAAGAATCACTGCAGAATCCTCAGGATAGAGAGCGGCAGCGCTCATCTGGTGGCCAATAGCCCGCAATGAAGCCCGGCTCTGTAGCACAAGTTTCCTAACAAGCCACTTGAGGGCCACTAAGTTATATCTCTGCACCACTCCATACCTGTCTATATATCCATTCATTATACGCGGCTTCTTCTGCCTATATATCTCTTCATTATAGATAATTTCTTCTCATACGGGTGGGATCCGTAGAGGCTTAGTCTGTAATGATGTTGATAATTCTTCTAATTAAGGCTGCATTATTAAATATTGCGGAATCATTATTTATTTTCTTGAGATCGCGATTTTTATTGCCCTTATAAAATGTAAAAAAATATATTACGTATTCATATTCATTCCAGTCCCTTCAGACTTTCAAAAACTGCAACTATCAATTCACTAAATCCTGAATTTATATCGGCTCTCCTGATCTACACATCAGTACATAGGCAAACAGGAAATAAGTAACTGAAAATTTGTGGAAATATAAACGATCGCTTCAAGCGTCTGAACATTGGCGAAGACCTCCTCATTACGGTCTTTAATTCCACCCTCAGCTGCGCCGAGGACATCCAAGCTTCCTCATTAACAGGAGATGTTGGAACACATTAAACATTTCCTGCTTTCCTGTGAAGTGCACTTCTGCTACTGGCCATCTAATTAATACCTTGACTAATTAGCATAACTTATAGGGGACAAATTCGTGCATATTACATCATATGAACCTAGGGTATAATCTTATAAGATTGATTTACCTTAAATTATAGGATTAATTAAGCTTGTATTAAATAGTGACTTCACTTTACCTCCCAAATAATTCTTGAAGAATCAAGCAAAGAAGTTATATTTTTTCATTCAAATATTGTGGATACGAGCTGCTGACAGCTCTTTTTGAAGGAGGTTTCAAAGCGTATGGTTGACCCACACTATATTCGACGCATGCAAATTAAAGCTTCTCATGATTGGTTTCTCGTCTTTTGTAAACTTTTGAGCGGTACTTACTAAGTATGGGAGCCCTAAATTATTGCTTACAAATGCGAGCATTTTCTGCCAGGATCGGTTCGTGTCGAGATAAACTCGTAGATTACAAATGCTTCTATCTCATTTGGAAGCAAAACTTTTAGCTTAGCCTGCGTGTTGCCAGGCATTCCTCAGCCAGGGCAAATTATCTTCAATTTGCATTGTAATGCCCGAATTGAAGTTCATTCGAGAAAGTCTGATTAGCCAACACGTTTTACATGACGAGCGGCAACCTGACTTATCTTCTCTACATCTCAGCAGCCACCGATGCCCCGAGCTCAAGACGAAGGTTGTATCACATTATATCAATGGACCGAAAACTTAAGATAAAGAGCATCTGATATATAAAAAACTCTCACAAATGAGGATATTATTCGTAATATTAGCATTGTATGCATAAGTGCATTGTGCAACCGACTCCCTGCTGACATCGTTGACGCTCCGAGTATGAACGCGACTAGGCGAAGCTATGCGGTTAACATGTTTCGACTAGAAGTGAACTCGCCTCAAATATTGCTGGAGGTTCAGAGGCTATTTGGCTTCAACGTTAGTTTTTATTAAGTTTGGTCTAAAAGGCTAGGATCTTCAAGAGACCAGTCATAAGCATTATAGAATACGGCGACAAGCCAACCCGACCCTCGGGCAATAATTTCCCTCGTTTTATAATAATATAAAGTTCTTGTTTGATCAAAATCTAATTTAGTTTGCCAATGACGAGTCTCTTCCATCGATGAGAAAACGACCGAAATTCACGAACAACATAATTTTGCTGAAGACGCCAACATATCATTAAATATATATCGATCAGTCTTGTTAGCGCGAGTCAATAGCTTTTCAAATCATCAATATTATAAATATGAGAAAATGCTTGAAGCGATCAGCATTACTAGCATGTGTCGATGCTTGAAACGATCAGCTCTATTAGCATGAATCATTTGGAAGAAATTATCAGTTTAATGCGGCCGAACTTTAGCTCCAGAGTACGCAAAGTCTATGCATATAACAGGTTGTTTATCAGGCAGTTGCGCAATCAACCTTTGTCAATGCGTTTGAGCAGGTGTAGCTCTGTTGACAACTTGGCATCAAGATTATCTGTCAACTTGTCCTTCATTATCACACATTAGGGAGAACCCTGCGGACAAGTTCTTGTACTTATTTTTTGTTTAATTGATGCTACGCTCAAACCTCCGTTCACCTATTTTCAGCGCATTTTCTCATTTATGTAAAAAATGCACTATTGTGCTCGCCATGTCCGTCTGTCAGTCCGTCCGTCCGTCTGTCTGTCCGTCTGTCCGTCCGTCCGTGACCTCAAGTTTTCGTCGACGAGAAAATGCGCTCTCTGTCACTCACTGCAGTGAGTACTGAGTTATATTTTTTATCAATTTATAAGGCACTTTGCTGAAATATGAGGGTTAAATTTTTCATGTCTATAAAAATATTTATAATAGTAAACCTTGTCTCAAATATTGCCAAATAAATTTTCGATACTAATCGTTTTAAATTTTAAACTTCAGTTGATCAGATGCGATACCTAAACTTTTAAATTCATTAGCAAATAACGAGAACTTAAATTGTAACAAACAAAATTACTTTTAAAACAAATCTAATCTAAACTAGAAACCATCTAGAATCTATAATAAGAGCATTTTACGCAATAAGCTTTTATTATCTAATTGAACTGTTAGGTTCTAAACAAATTTATCATTAGTCTGCATAAACCGAAAATTTTCAAGAATTCATATCCAGAGAAACTGCCGAACGAATTCGCCATAATTTCGTTGAAAACGTGTCGTAGACTTGCTACATTATCACATCACAACTCAATTGTCTTGGTGTTTCAATTTCTTCTTGTTTTTTTTTTCTTCGTATTTTTCGTGGTGTTTCAATTTCAAACAATTTCTTGGTGTTTTTAGACTGAAAATGGTCAGTCTAAAAT